TCTTTCTCTTTTTCCCCCTTTTGGTTCTGGGGATTGAACCAGGGGTGCTCTACCACTGAGCTTCATCCACAGCCTGTTTTATTTTTATTTTTAGACAGTATCTTGCTAAGTTGCTGAGACTGGCCTCAAACTTGTGATCCCCCTGCCTCAATCTCCTGAGTTGCTGGGATCACAAGTATGTGCCAATGCACATAGCCCTTTTGGTCCTGTTTCACATTTTCATTGACCTTTTCTGTTTTTCTGAATGAAATATGGATATTTATTTTATTTTAATTTTTATTTGCAGATGGATGTAATAATTTTTTTTAATGTGGTGCTGAGGATTGAACCTAGTGCCTTACACATACTGGGCAGGTGCTCTACCACTGAGCCACAACCCCAGCATTTATTTCATATATCCTAATGGGTCTGAACTTTGGTTTTGAAGATGTATCTCAGTCATGATGCTTTGTTTCTTTGTACACTCTGCACTCATTTTTCCTCATGCTTTGTTTCAAGAAGCATCTGTATTCCTTTCTCTAGATAGTATGTATATTTGACTCTGCAGAGGCCTGATGTACTGCCATTTAAAGCCACTTTCTTTCTGATTGAGGTCTTTGCAAAGCACACCTGTTCTGTGTACTTAGATTATGCACCCACATAAGTCTAGCTTGTTGTTGTGAGTTCTCAGGAGACAGTTTTTCACCCTTCCGTGTAGCACTAAGATTTGAGGCAAAAGATTAATTTTCTTTCTTTCTTTTTTAATTTTTTGTAGTTGTAGATGAACAGAATGCCTTTATTTTATTTGTTGAATTTTATGTGGTGCTAAGATCGAACCCAGTGCCTCACACAAGCGAGGCAAGTGCTCTGCCACTGAGCTATAGCCCCAGCCCAAGAAATTAATTTTTGATGTTATTTTTCATCAGTCAAAAGCCAAGTGACCCTTTTCTTGTTCCAGCTTTACCAGGGAAAGTAAGCTAGCAGGTCTCTGTTCTTGGGCTTGCTCCATGCTTTGCTTCTTTACTCTTACCTTCTGTAGCTCCTGTGGCACACATGCTCACATTCACCCCAGACCAATGTGGGCCTCTGCCTGCTTTGGCCTCAGCTTTCACTTTGAAAGAGACTGGGTCACCCACCATTCTCCCTGTGTTCCTGGACTCCTGACAGCCTGGGAAACACACTTGTTTTCATGGCTTCGCTCCTGCTGCTGCCTGTGGGAAGTCCCTTCCCATTGTCCTCTCAAGACCTCTCAGGGGCCTGCCAGTCCCTGAAGAGCCTAACCTGGTAGTGACCTCACATGCGGTGCTCAGGCCATTTTGTCTCCTCCCTTGCACACACTTGCTTCATAGCCCTGTTCACCTCACTGTCTCTGCTGAGCGTCTAAAGGGTGTTGAAAACCTGAGTTTTTTTCCCACTCATCTTCATATTTTAGTGCCTGTTAGTTTCTAACTGTTCAACATTTGTGTTTTACAAGATACCTGAAAGAGCTGGCTGGTCGTTCTGACTTGGAGGCAGAGCTGCCTCTGGAAGGAGTAGTGGCTTGGTCCTCACAGAGGCCGAGGTGCTGTTGTCACCCTGAAGGGCAGACCAGGCACACGTCTTCATGCCCTGGGGCTTTCCCGCTCAGTTGAGATACCCATGACACTTCTTTGAGAACCACTGTGCTTACTTAGAGACAACCTCTTCTAGTTTCTGATTCCTGGATGAGTAGATGGATGAATGCACTCACCATGATGAGTAGTTGAGTGGCATTTTTCTTTCTCTTTCAAAGCATAATGCAGTGTTAGGGTGTCCTATTAATTACCCATTGCTGACAACAAATCACCCCAAACCTCAGTGGCTGAAACCAGGAGGCATTCACCTCACACCACTGTGGCTTGGGACCTGCCAGGGTTCTGGAGGTGCTGGAGGAGATGGTCCATTTTAGGCACACCACCTGGGTCTCTCAACATGGCTGCCATACCCCTCCCCCAGGGAGAGGAGGAGCAAGCTCCCAGTAGGGAATCAGTCTCTGATAACCTAATCTGGAAGTGGCATCCACTCTGTGCCCTTCTGTTCCATGGAAGTGAGTCAGGAGGGGAAGATGCACAAAGTACTGTGCCCAAGGCTACTGTCACACACAGAGGAGAGCCTGTGTTCCGCACAGCCTTGTGGGACCACTGCAGACTTGCCGGGATTGTGCTTTTCAGATATCGTTTGAGGATGTGGCTGTGGACTTCACATGGGAGGAGTGGCAGCTGCTTAACCCCACTCAGAGGAGCCTGTACAGAGATGTAATGCTGGAGAACTACAGCAGCCTGCTCTTCCTGGGTGAGGTGCCCTTCTGTGATTGGCTGTGTCCAACCGGGCCTCTGGGGTGTTCACTGATTGCATATGCATTTCAGATGACAGAGATTCCTTGATTCCAACACCAAATTGAAAGGTGTTTAGTCTCTTATTATTTCAGAGCATTTGTAATAAGACATTTCTCAAGGGACTCCAGCTCAGGCAGCTGGGTCCATGTCGCCTCCTTCCAATCTCCAGGTTATCAAATCATTAAACCTGATGCCGTTTTCAAGCTAGACCAAGAGGAGTCATGGACAGTATATGAAGAAACCCTACACCAAAACGTTTCAGGTGAGAAATCATGAAATGTATTGAAAACGGTGAATTAAATTAAATCTCAGGGTTTTGGCAATAGGTGAGTACTTTTGAAATGTTGCTTATAAACTGTTTGAAATTCCTAAATCTTTATAGAGTTGACTCCAGAGTAGTGACAGGAGTTCTTCATGATCCTTGCTTTGCTGTTCCGTTCCCTAGCCTGCTGGCCTCTCTGTGTGCAGTTTATTTATTTATTTTATTTTTTTTTTAAGTTGTTGATGAACTGTATTGTCTTTATTTTTTTATGTGGTGCTGAGGATTGAACCCAGTGCCTCATGCATGCAAGGTGAGCACGCTACCACTGAGTCACAACCCCAGCCCCTTCTCCACTTGTGCAGCACATACACAGTGGCCACTCATTGAGGATTCCTTCCTTGCATAAAGAGTTCTTCCTACCTGCCTTACATTCCTACTTTCCTTATTCCCACTTCCAAGTCGTCCTACAGAGGTAGGCTTTGGTCCTCCTTCTTAAGAATTCATAATTTTTAGCCAGATGCAGTGGCACATGCCTTTAATCCCAGCAGCCTGGGCGGCTGAGCTGAATTGCAATTTAGCAAGGCCTAAGCTATTTAGTAAGGTCCTAAGAAACTCAGTGAGGCTTTGTCTCTAATAAAATAGAAAAAAAGAGCTGGTGATGTGCCTCAGGGGTTAAGTCCTCCTCAGTCAATCCTCGATACCAAAAAAAAAAAAAATCCATAACTTTTTTATATTTTATTTTTTAGTTATAGGTGGATATAATATCTTTATTTTTTTTTTATGTGGTGCTGAGGATCAAACCCAGTATCCCATGCATGCTAGACGAGCACTCTACTTCTGAGCCATAACTCTACCCGCTTTTTTTCACTTTAAATAACATTGACCACTTTTGAGTTCATATTAATGTAGAACTTCTTTGAGTTATTACTTTCCTTCCTCTAATTTGACAAATTTGGGCTTTTTTCCCTTTGGAAATTTAATAGGTATGTCATTATTGATTTTTTTACAAGGCTTCTCATTTAATTTAACAGTATGAAGGAAACTTTGAACTAACAAATGACATTACTGCTCTCCCAGGTACCAGATACCATTGCCCAGATGATCTCTGTCTATGTGCTTTTCCATACCAGGAGTCTTCTGCTCCATAAATGCCTCTGTCTCAGCTTGTAACTTAGTAACAAAGTGCCTGTGCAGGCACAGCACAGTTGACAACAGGCAAATAAGATCCCCAGGGGTTTCAGAGAACTAGCTTCAAGGGTGCCAATCATCATATACAAAGATGATCAGGCTCCATATGCTCAAAGACAGCATGCTCACATCTCGGTAGGGTTCCTTGTGTGTCTTACAGCAAAGACAGAGTGGAAGGCAGAGCAAGTGGTGTGGAGCAGAGCTGAGCACTGACACAGCCAGGGGATGCCTCCTGCCTCCGCTGCAGCCCTGCCTTTGAAGCCTCTCAGCGGGCTTCAGTCCTCCCCTTGCAGGCTGTGTGTCCATGCTCGCCTAGCATGCGTGGGCCTCTGGGTTTGTATGTTGGTACCTCTGCCCTGCTGTGGATTGTTAAGCTCCATTTACACTGGAGAATAGCAGAACATGGCAGAGCTTGACTAAGCCCCTCTTCTGTGCCTCTTCTGTACCCAGAGCATTTAGACGAGTCTCTTCCTCAGTGTCCCCCATGTTTCTCTCTGCTTCTGAGCCTTTGGTGGGGGTGTGCTCTCCCCACATAGACACTGCTCTCCTCTGGTTGAGCTTCTCCCCCGCCCCCCAGTGGATGCTCCTTGACTTCCAGCTTATCTGAAGCCCTTGCCTGCTGAGCACCTATATTATAGGATCTGAGGCCTGTTCAGACTTGACTGGGATTCCTTAAACTGTTAGGCTTAAGGTTAGAGAGATGGCCAGGAATTTACTGATCTCTGTTCTATGTGAAATTTATGGTACAATTATTAATATTTTATTTGTTTATTATTATGGAGGCAGGTAAAAAGGATCTTTCCTTTTCTTTCTTTTTTGTTTTTAGTATTGGGGATTGAACTCATGGTTTCTCTACCACTGAGGTACATTCCCAGCCTTTTTATGTTTTTGAGATAGGGTTTTGCTAAGTTGCCCAGGCTTATCTTAAACTTGCGACCTTCCTGCCTCAGCCTCCCAAGTCACTGAGATCAAAGTGTGCGCCACCACACCCAACTAGCATTTTTCTTTTTCTTTTTTCTAGTGTGGGGATTGAACCCCAGGGTGCTTGACCACATACCCACCCCTTTTTATTATTTTTATTTTTATTTTGAGATAGGGTCTTGCTGCATTGCTAAGGGCCTCACCAAGTTGCTGAGTCTGTCTTTGAACTTGCGATCATCCAGACTTAGCCTCTCGAGTCACTGGGGTTACAGATGTGTGCCACTGTGCCCATCAGGAGCTTTCTTATCAAATATCTGTTCAGTAGAAGGGTTTCCATTTTACTTGTGTATTAACCTATGCTGGAAAGTACTTCAGAATGTCTAGGTCTAGGCCCTTCCTGTGGGGGCTAGCGGGTCTGGGTATGTAGAGTCTGGGAAAACTGCAGTGATAGAGTTCACATTCCCCCATTAATTTAGAACCAACAGGGCTAGGGATGTGGCTCAAGTAGTAGCGTGCTCACCTAGCATGCATGAGGCACTGGGTTCAAGTCTCAGCACCACGTAAAAATAAAATAAAGATATTATGTCCACCTAAAAGAAAACTAAAAAATAAATATATTTTTTTAAAAATTTAGAACCGCCACTGTTATATGGAATGAGAGGACTCAGAAGGAAATAAGAGTCATGAAATAACCATGCAGGAGCATAGAATTTAACATAAAAGAAAATACAGAACTGTATGGCATTCAATAATTGAATATAGCGTTCATGATCAGATTCAGAGCTACAGGAAGGAGCTGCTCTAGCACTCAGCAAGTGTGTTCCTCCCCACACATCGAGGTAACTATGTACTGCACTGTGAGCTAGTAAAGTACCAGTGGGAGCTACCACCTACCCTAACCCTCATGGAGTTGACATTCTACAGGGAGAAACAGAAGTAGAGGATCATCAACTTGATAAGTACTATGCATAAAATAAACAGGATGTTTGTTAGTGTGCTGTCAAAGTGATGTTTACATTTGAATGAGCCAGGCCTGCTGGAAAACTGGGAAGAGCATGCTAAATGTAAGGAATGGAACATGCAGAGGACCCATGACAAAAAATGTCTTTGTGATAAAAAAAAAAATGAGAATATTGTGAAATAAAATTGAAGTGGTTAGAGCAAACCAGTCATACAGGACATGCATCAAAAAGTTTTCAAGCAGGAGGATGAAAAGGCCTGGTTACATTGTTTTTGGTGGGAGGGTGTTCTGGGGGTTGAACTCAGGGGCACTCAACCACTGAGCCACATCCCCAGCCCTATTTTGTATTTTATTTAGAGACAGGATCTCACTGAGTTGCTTAGCACCTTGACATTGCTGAGGTTGGTTTTGAATTCATGATCCTCCTGCCTCAGCCACCTGAGCCACTGGGATTACAGGGTATAGCCACTGCGCCTGGCTTCTAATTACATTTTTAAAGGTGACTAGATGCTGAGTAGAGGCTAGAATTGGAAGCTGGACTCCCAGTTAGGAAGTAGGTCATTTTGGAAACAGGATGTAATGGGGGTCACATGGCAGAAACAGAATGGAGAAACATATATGTTCTGTGGTATAACACTAGCAGTAGTCCACCTGTCTTCCCAAATGACATGTTTTTATTTCCTTTAAGATTTTTTGATACAATTGAATATCTAAACCTTTAAATACATAGGTGAACTACTCTATTATTGCTTGATATCAGGTTGCTTATTAATTTGAATAAATATACTTCTTAACACTGCTTCTTGATCTTAATTTGAAATTATTATTTCTTCTTATATTTTAAAGAGCAACTTGCTCTTAAACTCTCCCCCTCCATGTGTCTGCTTGTGACTCTTGATTCTGGTCTCCAGAGGTCTTTCTGTTTTCTCTCCTCTCAGTGAACTGTGTGAACATTACTCATGCACGAAACATTAAGCATTCTCATTCTCCTCCACATCAGTAGCTCTAAGTGGCTCTTCCCCTGAAATTCTGATGTCTGAGAATTAGAGGAGATGCCTCACAAAAAGTATTCTTAAGAAAAAAGAGTACTTGCTTTACATTTGGAATCTCACCAAATATTTCATCTTGCAGAGTACCTCCTGGGAATCTTGCCTCCCAGTTGCTATAAACAATGTCATCAACAGTCAGCAGACCTTTAAAAGATCACTCCAAATATTCATCAAGCAGCCATGTGGTGGAAATCACAAGTACATATACCTGTAGGATGGAAAAAGCTGTACTAAGGTTATATAGGAAAGTTCTTATGGTTTGGAATAATTTCAATTTATACCATTATGTAGATTTTATATGTAGATTATGATTCAGTTATAGATCCAGTTAAAAGGGTCTGAATGTCAACATGCATCAGATAAAAGTGTTCACATGAGCTCTGGAGAATTCTTGAAATTATCACCAGAAAGTGGTGCCAGTGGTGGAGGGGTCCTGGAGGTGACAGCCAGGTGGCTGTCTGGCACAGAGAGGTTTTCAGTGCAGCAGTGGCACAGACATCAGTGCTGTCCAGAGTGAAGGACATCCCACCTGTGCTCTTCTCAGACCAAGTTCATCTTCTCTTGTGCCGACTTGCTCTTTTGCTGTTCCCATTTTCAGCGTATCATGAGTCTCTCTGATGGTTTTGTTCTTGTCTTTTTTCATAATCTACAGCTAACAAAGTTCCAGGCATAAAGTAGAAAATTGCAGATTACTGCATAATTTTGACCTTTGTAATTCTAACACTGGTTCCCATTTCCATTAAATATGTCAGTGCCCAGTACATAGAGAGTATTTGTGGGTCTCGCTATGTTCATGAGTATAGTGACTGAGGAAGTTACACAGTGTGGTTCTTTTTTCCCTCTTTTTAGAAATTTGGCTAGACAGTGATTCTAAAATATGTCATCAAGATAATCAAGACAAGCTTAAAAGTATGGAGAAAGGCCATGGATGTGATGTTTTGGGGAAAATATTTAATTCAAGCATGAACTTTGTTCACTTAGGAATGAGACTTCATAAATGTGGCAGAGGTGAAAAAAGTTTGAAACATCCTTTTGATTTTCTTATTCCAAAAAATAACTGTGGCAAAAAGAAATTTGATGAGCTCAGCAAGGAGTTACTGTTTTGTGTGAAACCTGACAGAGCCTGTGGAGAGGTACAATACTGTGATGACAAGAAACACAGAAGAACCAGCAGCAACGAGGCTTGTGGGACACACACGGGAGTCTGCTTGTGCTTGGAGTGTGGCAGAGTTTTCCATAGGAAGTCACAGCTGACCATTCACCAGAGAACTCACACAGGAGAGAAGCCCTATCTTTGCAGTGAGTGTGGGAAGGCCTTCTCACAGAAGTCCTTGCTCACTGTGCACCAGCGGACACATTCAGGGGAAAGGCCCTACGGGTGTGGCGAGTGTCAGAAGGCTTTCAGCAGGAAGTCCCTGCTCATGCTACATCAGAGAACTCACACTGGAGAGAAGCCCTACGGGTGCAGTGAGTGTGGAAAGGCCTTCAGCAGGAAGTCCCAGCTCAAAAGGCATCAGTTGGCTCATGCAGTAGAGAAGCCCTATAGCTGCAGTGACTGTGGAAAGGCTTTCTCCCAGAAAGTGAAGCTCATCACACATCAGAGGGTGCACACAGGAGAGAAACCTTATAAATGTAGTGATTGTGGGAAAGCTTTCTTTTGGAGGTCTCAGCTCATCACTCATCAGCGGTCTCATACTGGCAAGAAACCTTATGTGTGTAGTGAGTGTAAAAAAGCCTTCAGCAGGAACTCACTCCTCATTAGGCATCAGAGAATTCACACAGGAGAGAAGCCCTATGCATGCAGGGAATGTGGTGAAGCTTTCATCCGAAAGCCGCAGCTTATCAAGCATCAGATAATCCACACGGGGGAGAAGAGCCATCGATGCCGCGATTGTGAAGAGGCCTTCTTCAAGAAGTCAGAGCTGATGCGGCATCAGAAAGTTCACTCTGGAGAGAAGCCCTATGGCTGCGTGGAATGTGGGAAGACCTTCTTTGGAAAGTCGCAGCTCCTAACCCACCAGAGAACTCACACTGGTGAGAAACCATATGGCTGCAGTGAGTGTGGGAAGGCCTTCACCCAGAAGTCAAGCCTGATATCGCATCAGAGAACACACACTGGCGAGAAGCCCTACAAATGCAGTGAGTGTGGGAAAGCCTTCAGCGAGAAGTCCAGTCTCACTCACCATCAGAGAACTCACACTGGAGAGAGGCCCTTTGAATGCAGTGAGTGCAGGAAAGCGTTTGCCTGGAAGCCACAACTGCTCAGGCACCAGAGGATCCACACGGGGGAAAAGCCCTATGAATGCAGCGAATGTGGGAAAGCCTTTGTTCAGAAGGTGCAGCTCATTAAACATCAGAGAAACCACACAGGAGAGAAAACCCACGGGTGCAGTGATTGTGCAAAAGCTTTCTTTGAGAAAGCACAGCTCATCATCCATCAGCGAATTCACACAGGAGAGAGACCCTACGAGTGTGCCGAATGTGGGAAATCATTCACCAGAAAGTCCCATCTCATGAGGCACCAGAGGAGCCACACAGCAGGCAGAGGCTGTGCACGCAGCGAGTGTGGTAGCAGCTTCAGCAGCAGGTTGCAGCTCACATTGCACCAGAAAGACCACGCAGAACCAACGCCACGTGAGTGCAGCAAGGGCCAACCCCTGCCTGCTGTCAGATGTCCCCACTGAGGACATGTAGGAGAGACTCCAGTTGAGATAGCAGCTGCTGGAAACATGCTAGCAGGGAGTTAAGTCACGAGAGCTTTCTAGTGTTTGAAAAGCAGATGTTGTGCAAAAGCCTTCTCCCAAAAGATTCCCTGGGGCACCCCTGTGAGGACAAGCCAAGGTGGAAGTGAGATTGGCAGCACCCTCTGTCAGAGGTCACAGGGATTCATGTTTAGAGACTTCAACAGGGAAACCTGGGGGAGCAAACTCCTCAGGATTCAGATGTGTCATCAGAAAGGAGGTGCTGGACGTTGTGTCTTGAGAGTCTACGTGAGGAGTCCTGGTGTCCAAGGGTCTTTGAAGTAATTCTGCCAGGAAACTGTGTCTGTTGTGTAGGAATCATTACAAACAGCTGTCAGTCTCAGACAGACATGTCTGCTGAAGGGTAAAGACTTCTCTATTGTGTGTGGTGGAGTAACCAGGATCAGAGCATGCTCCTACCTTCAACAGCTATATGTAAAAAGACTTTTTCTTTTTTTAATTTATGTTTTTAATTGATACATAGTAACTGTATGTTTTTGTGGGTTTCAGTATGGCTTTACAGTGTGGATACAGTGTGTAATGGTCAGGTCAGGCATATCTGTAATTGGCATCTATCTGTTAGCTCAGCTTTACATTTCTTGTGTTGAGAATATTCAGGATCCTATTCATTAGTTATTTTGAAATATTTGTATTGCTAATTGTTGCTGGGTGCAGTAGTGCACACCTGTTATCCAGGATCTTGAGAGGCTGAGGCAAGAAGATCACAAGTTTAGGCCAGCCTGGGTCCCACAGTTAAAAAATGAAAAAGGCTGGGCTGTGGCTCAGTGGTAGAGTGTCCATGGTTTCCATCACAATTCTGCAAACCAGGGATAACTGTTCCCAACCATAGTCAACCTACTGTGTTTCAGAATGTCAGAAGTCAGTCCTCCTGTCCAGCTACATACATGGGCCCATTGGCTACCCTCTCTTGGCTTCCCTACCTCCACTGTTTCCCAGCGTCTGGGAATGTATTTTGGCTGGTCTCTGCTCCCTTGAGGTTGGACTTGGCTTCTGCACGTGGTATTGTTGCTCAATGCCTGACACATTTCACTTACTTGGGGACCTCCAGTTCCAACCTCATTGTTGCAAACAAAAGCAGCATTTCCATTATTTTATGTCTGAATGATATCCTGTTGTGCACATATACCATATTTTCTTTATTCATCCAGCAACAGACACCTGATTGATTCCATATCTTGGCCAGTGATGATTCTTGACATGACACGTGGTCTGTGGTCCCAGTCAGATGGAGCTGACTCATGGTCACCCAGCCTACTACAGTGGCAGTTTCCAGGTGGCCACACAGGGAAGGGGCCAAGAATAGCCTTGCTGGTGAGAAGGGAAGGATTCCCACAGGGCCACAATAGCTGGAGTTTGCAGGGAAGATGTGGAGGTGTGCTTAACAGAGAGGGGCTGTCTGAGGGATCCCCAACTCCTTTGGATGAGTAAGGATTTATACATGTGTAGGAAACCTGGGAACAGCTGGAGCTGTGCAAGGCAGGGGCAATTCAAGTGGGAACTGGCCAGAGACGAATGGCTGGTCACCATGTAGCAGCAGGCGGGCTCTCAGAAGCCCTGTTTTAGCAGAGGACTGACTAGCCCTATATCAAGCTACTCTGTTTCCAAGTAAAATTTAGTGAAAGGCTGGGTTGTAGCTCAGTGGAAAAGAGCTGGCCTGACGTGAGGTGCTGGGTTCCCTCCCTGGCCCTGCAAAAAGACAACAATTTTAAAGCACCTAGAAGGGAAATCATACATAGGAACAAATCACAGCAGGGCTTCTAGACAGGGCTGTGTAAGAAGATAAGGAAGCTGCCTTAAATTACTGAAAGAAAGCACCACAGCAAACCCCACAACCTAGAGTTCTGGTTCCAACAAAAACATCTATAAGGGCTGGGGATGTGGTTCAAGCGTGCTTGCATGGCATGCATTGCTGGGTTCTATCCTCAGCACCACATACAAATAAAGATGTTGTGTCCACCGAAAACTAAAAAATAAATATTAAAAATCAATCTCTCTCTGTCTCTCTGTCTCTCTGTCTCTCTGTCTCTCTCTCT